AAACTACCCTATGAATTACCAGAGGAAGCGAGATTAGATATGATTTATGGGCTTCTACATAAGAGAATCAGAAAACGATTGTCGAGAGATACTGTGAATGACATCGAATCTCTCATTGAAAGATCTCGAGCTATAGAAGAGTCGCTGACGGAGAACGCTGCGCTGCCACCGCTCGCGCCGCCACAACCGCTGGCGTCGCCGCTGAGTGTGCCCGCTAGACCTAGCCGCAGGCATGGCGAGGGACTTCAACATAGTACTTCGGGTTCGAGTTCGACGGCGCCGCAACTGAGCGCCCCCGACTCCGCTTCGCAGTCATCACGCGACCGTGTGCCTGTGCCGCGTAGTGATCATTGTGTGAGCAAAAATAGTGATGGTGAGAGAAAGCTATTCTGTGTTTACTGCAAAACGCGAGGACACGTCCGTGACTCCTGTGATAAGTTAAGTAAAAAGATCTCATTCTTCTAACTCAGGTATTGTTTGTTATAATTGTGGAGAGAAAGGTCATATTAGAGTAAATTGCCCTAAATGTTTACAAAGTATACCTTCTAATGATGACATTAAAGTTGAAAATGTATTTTCGTCCATCTTTGTTAATAATTGCATCTCGAATTCGAAATCCGATTGTAAGGAGCAAGGTCGGCCTATCGTACGAGTGAGTATAGGGGGATACTCGGGTACCGCGTTGTTAGATACCGCCGCGCGTCGTAGTGTTGCGAGTTGTTCACTTTATGCGTTAATGAAACGTATCGGTTTAAATTTTCGTACCGAAATGATGTCGGTAAAGCTTGCGGACGGTACTATTAGGAATAGTGAGGTGCTACTCACGGAGGTCAATGTTCAACTTGCTTCCTTAAGTATACCTATCGAGTTCATTATTTTACCGAATGCCGTCAATAACGATACTTTGTTAGGTATTGACTTTATAACAAAGGCTAGAATGATTATTGATTTTGATAAATGGAATTGGCGTACAGTTGATCAGCCCCGGACATTTCACGCCTTGTCATGGGAGACTCGTCGCGAACCTGTTGAGTGCGCCGCCGCATTGAACGTGTTGCGAGAGGACGAGGCCACCGTGCTATCGGAGTCGGAGAGGTCTAGACTGGCGAATCTATTAGGTGAGTATTCTGACGTTTTTGATGTTGTCGGAGAACCGACACCATTCGCCGAACACCATATAGATACCGGTGACCACCCGCCGATTGCTGTGCCCCCGTATCGGGTCACGCCTGCGAAGAAGGAAATCATGCGCGCCGAGTTAGACAAGATGCTGGCTGATGGTGTGATTGAGGAGTGCGAATCCGCCTGGGCCGCACCATGCGTCCTGGTACCGAAGTCTAATGGTACCTATAGGTTTTGTGTAGACTATCGCAAGCTAAATGCGGTTACCAAGACAGATGCATACCCCATGCCGCGTATCGACGAGCTGTTACAGTCGACCAAGAAGGGCTGTGTGATGAGCTCGCTAGACCTCCGTAGTGGGTACTGGCAGGTCAGTACGGCGGATAGGGATAAAACGGCCTTCGTTACACCTTTTGGGACCTACCGCTTCACGCGTATGCCGTTCGGCCTGAAGGGGTCTCCGGCAACGTTCCAGCGTCTCATAGATCGCTTCCGGTCAGGCCCTTCACTTGGTGGTAGGCATATTCTAGGTTATCTTGATGACCTATTAGTAATTTCAGAGGACTTTGAGTCCCATTTGTCTGATTTACGTGCGGTATTTGAGCGTCTTCGGATGTTCAAGTTAAGAGCCAACCGTGAAAAATGCGTGTTCGCTAGGGACCGGCTCAAATACCTAGGTCACGTAATATCCAACGACGGTATATCTCCAGACGAAGATAAGGTGCGTGCTGTCCTAGAGATGAGAGAACCGACTAATCTCCAGCAACTTCGTACCTTCCTGCAAACTTGCTCTTGGTTTAGGAAGTTCATACCAGAGTTTGCGAAGGTAGCTGAACCGCTTACGCGCCTTACCAAAAAGTCACAGATCTGGCAATGGGGAGATGATCAGGCCAAAGCCTTCGTACATCTTAAGTCCCTTCTGGCTTCACCACCCATTCTTGTTCAGCCAGACTACTCGAAGCCATTTATCCTTAGGACGGATGCCAGCGATTTTGCCCTAGGAGCAGCTTTACTCCAGGGGGAGTCTCCACAGGATGAACACCCAATCGAGTACGCGAGCCGTCTCCTCACATCAGCCGAGAAAAATTATACCACTACGGAGCGGGAGGCGCTAGCAGTTGTGTGGGCCGTGGAAAGATTCCGTGGCTATATTGATGGTCACCAGGTAGTGGTCAGAAGTGATCATCAACCCCTGAAGTGGCTTTTTTCTGTCAAATCGCCTAGTGGTAGGCTTGTTCGTTGGGCTTTAAAGCTACAATCATTTGGTCTCCAAATGGAATACACCCCTGGGAAGGTTAACGTGCTAGCTGACGCACTCAGCCGTCCAGTCATCGATAGCACTTTGACGGAATGTGGTGTCTGCCCCGTGTCTGTGGATGTTCCACGTTGGGATGCTACATCAACCCGTGAAGCCCAGCTGGCTGATCCAGAAGTAGCCAAAATCCTTAAGGACTTGGAAAGTTCTGATGAGCTGTCAGTTCATCGGTGGTCGGAGAGGGGGTACCTGATAAACCAAGGTGTATTGTACCGGTACGTGGACAACACCGATACTGAGGAGCCTCAGCTGGTAGTACCTGAGAGTTTGCGGGGCAAAGTTATGTTTGAGTGTCATGACTCGCCAACCGCCGCTCATGGAGGTATTCAACGGACTTTGCATCGTATATCCCAGCAGTTCTATTTCCCTGGTATGAGACGCTATATCACCGATTACCTGAAGACCTGCACTGAGTGTCAGCGGTATAAGTCTTCCAACTTGAAACCGCCCGGCTTACTCCAGACTCCGGTACCGGCTCAACGATTCGAGGTCATCGCCGTCGATCTCTTTGGACCGTTACCCAAAGGACCTCAGGGTGAAAGGTGGATTTTGATAGTGGAGGACACTGCTAGTAAGTGGGTCGAACTGTTTGCTCTAACCGAGGCCACAGCCGACAACTGTGCGAAAACTCTTGTTGGTGAAATCTTTATGAGGTATGGACTTCCTAGGCGGATGATCTCCGATAACGGTGTCCAGTTTGTGGCTGATGTTATGCAGAAGGCTCTGTTTGTCCTAGGCGTAAAACAGAACCTGGTGCCTTTGTATCACCCAGAAGCGAATCCTGTGGAACGGAAGAATCGGGACCTCAAATCTCACCTCGCCATTCTCGTGGAGGGTAACCATAAGCAATGGTCTGAGATATTGCCTTTCGTCCGATTTGCTCTTAATAGCTCAGTCACCGTTTCTACGGGTACCACTCCGGCTTTCTTGACATTTGGACGTGAGCTCCGGTCTCCTTTGTCGGTTCAGGCTGATCTACGAGCGGTCACCGAGTCTGAAAACTTTGTCCCTCAGATTACGCCTTACCTCTTGAAGCTTGCTGACTCTCTCTCGGAAGCTAAGGAGAACATTGAACATCAACAGGATCTTCGTAAGCTCCAAGCCGATTCCGATCGCCGTGGTTCGGATCCGTTACAAGAAGGTGATCTCGTACTCATGAAGACACATGTCCTGAGTAATGCTGCTAAGGGTGTTACTTCTAAATTCGTCCCGAAGCAGGATGGTCCGTATGTGATCTCCAAACAGGTCAGTCCCACTACCTACCTTCTAACTTCGCAGAAGACTGGTGAAGGCGTTGGTAGGTATCATGTGTCGGATCTGCGTAAATACCATGACAGGGGTGGTGAAGAATGTCCGGAGCCGGTTGCTCCTAAGCGTCGTAGGGGTCGTCCGCGTAAGGATCGCAGCTAGGCGCTAACTAATAGTTTGACCATTCGTGATGTTCCCTCTTGGTCAAAAGGGGGAGTATGTAGCGCGCCGATACTTACCTATGTCACCCGATGTCTCTCTATCCCCTCTCGTACGGTGCCCCACCTGCGCCACGGGATCGCGCCACTCGTCCGAACTTTTGACTGCCGATACAAGCAGTATGCTAGCCGACTAGCTCTGAGCTATACATATGTGTATTATTGTTTGATCCCGCGCTCGCGCTGCGTTCGCGAGACGCCGTTTATGTACTTACGTGTCAAATATTGCCTATACTGTTACTATTTAAGTGAATAAACTGTGCATTCGGATTATTTGTAACGTTTCATTTATCATGCGTGACCAGTGAACGTTATACTGTTTTATTAAGATTATGTGACTCTACATATAACAAAGCTTCACTGATTGCAGTTGCTTCACCGGTAAAAGTGGAGGATAGTGAGGGGCATTTAAAGTTAAAAATGATTTTGACCTTAGGAATCCAAACAGCAGCTCCAGTATAGTCTTCATTAGACTGTTTTGAAGCGTCTGTGTACATGACAAGCCAATCTTTAAAGGTGTTTTCTATAATTTCTTTTAATTTCAAATTTGCCATTGGAGAATCCTTTTCTATACCTAGATCTAGATGAATATCGGGTTGGTAAACAATAGCCTCGTAAGGAACATCAAAGAGTGGATTTATTTTACATTGAAAGATTGGGTAAGGAAGCTGAAGAAAATTTACAAAACTTCTAAACAAGCAGGGAGAGTCCTTATGGGTCCAGTATCGGTCAGATGAGATATACTCTGAAAGAAGATGCAATTTAGGAATTAGAAAGTTCTTATTAATCGATTATTGGTTCATTGACATAGATGTTTGACATGTGGCAACATCGATGTTTAACGTGTGGTAACATCGATGTTTCAATTTCTAACATCGATGATCATCGAACATCCCTATCTCATGCCTAATGTCTATGACATCTTATGAGCGAAACGAGATTAGAAGCGTGGTTTTTCAGAAAAGTTCTTTTGATTTAGTTTGATGATAAAACGTTGAACACAATGTAGTTTTCAGTAGTATGTAACTTTTTACACCAGTAAACAATAATATATATATGGTACATTAATAACCGTTCCTATGTGCAAATCATCGAAAATGGTTTCTGGGTCGACAAGGGTGATACAAGTCACCAACATCGCTCCCCAAGCGACTAAAGATCAGATGCAAACTTTGTTCGGATATTTAGGTAAAATTGATGATATCAGATTGTATCCAACAATCAGAGATGTCTCATGTCCTGTACAGTCGCGGATATGCTATGTGAAATACTACGACTCAGCAACAGTAAATGTGGCTCAACACATGACTAACACTGTGTTCATCGATCGTGCGTTAATCGTTATACCAATGCAGTCAGGTGAGATTCCAGATGAACATAAAGCTCTTGAGATGTCAAGCAATGGGACCTTAGTGCCGGGGTTAAGTACCATAGAGCCCCGTTTACCAGCACATGTTGTTAATACATTAGAAGGCGTTCCACCGAATCAAGTAATTCAGACATATGATCCAAAGATGGCTGCAGCAGGACTTCCACCATATCCCCCGCTGCCTGCTGCTTATGATTCTAGAAAAATTGAAGAAATAAGAAGAACGGTGTTAGTTGTAGATGTAGGTACATTGACTCAGCAGCAACTAATTGACCATTTTTGTCAAGCTGGAGAAGTTAATTATTTAAGGTTTTGTGACCGAGATGTTGACAAGTTAAAATATGCACTTATTGAAATGACTGAACAAGAATGTGTGATTAAGGCTTTACAATTGAATGGAACCACAATTGATGGGCATGTTATTAAGGTTAGTCAATTTTTATATGAATTTAACAAAAATTTGGATCATCATTATGACCTTGTAAATTTATAGGAGATTAAAGCAACGAATGTATATGCTCAGAGGCAATTGTGCCTACTTATTGTGCCTAATGCAATAACACTAATATAGAATAGATAGACAAATTCAACACAACTAGAAAGAAAATCATCAATTTGTATACTGACATGCACAAATGTTGAGATTTGAATCCAGTATCCATAGCATTTAACCCGGGTATTCTGACCAGTTAATTATTTTACATGTGGTAGAGCCACACTACAGTGATATTATGATTGTACCATGAATGGGTCTGCTCTACCGGGGAAGATCTACACAGAATACCAGCAATGAAATAGCAATTTAATGCTGCTTTGTAGGGTGAGTGTAGGGAACCGGAGACTCTTTTTACTGGAAATGAGGCATTCTATCTTATTTAAAAGGTAAAAGGTTCTAACCTTTAATATTAAACTAACACTTAGATACTTTATAACAGTATCACTCAGTGAAAGTGTGAATTTGGGTTGGCTATAGACGTCCGGTACTTGATTTTAATAATGTATTTAGTTTAGGAGGCTTGTCACAGTTGAGCTTGAACCTATTATACTGTTTTAAGATATCGGAAATGTGTTTAGAATTAATTATGATAAAAATAAATTTCACTAAAAATTGCTTATAACGAAATGCAAATATGTCGATTTGGTCTAGCGTTCATGTCAAATCTGTTCAAAAACTAATCAGTACACCCAGACTCCACATGGTTTTTTCTGCCCTACACCTAGAAGTAACTACATATAGACCTGTCTTTTAAAAAAGACATCTCTGAAAGTAATTATTTGCCTTCAGAGGCCAAACCCATAACGCAACTCTGTCATTCACTAATGAAGTAGATTAGATATGAACAAACTAAAAAGATATGCCACATAATATGTTTGTTCTTATAAAGGGCAAATTTTCTGTTATTACCAAATTCTGCTTCAGTGTGTTATGGAGGAACCCTTTAATCCTCAAAAACATGTGGATAACGTTTTTGAGAGTTACAACAAACCCAACATCTATAGAAATATCAACTGTGAGGATGAATACAAGCACTAAAACATTAACCAATCCTAACTTACTGATGTCTGATTAAACAATTGTGGAAAGATTAAAGAGAAGCAGACAAATGCAGCTAAAGATCAAATTGCTCTCCAGTTATATGCACCACTAAGCCACATGGTTGTTTGTATCCCCACCATATTTGTTACTTATAAATATATTAAGATGTCAAATTAAAAGTGTTATTACTAATCTCTATATATAAAAATTAATTACTGTCCATTACGGCCTTATCATACTAGCGGTTTGCGAGCGGTTTTGGGGCGGAGCCGGCGCGCAGCTTATACGTCGTGGACGCGCAACGAATCAGCCGCACATGCGCAGCGAATACGTCGCGGACGCGCAACGAGATCGTCGCAAATAGAAACGTGGACGCCATTTTGTACACTCTCGTACAAACATTTAAAACATACCTTATAGTAAAAACGAGTTTTTTTCAGGTAACACTTATAACCTCAAATGTCATGTCTTAAGTCGGTTTGTATCAGATACAATTCATAAAATGTAGGACCGAAATTTTTTAGGATTATATTTTAATAGTTTGCAAAACAACACAAAGTAGTTGCTCTCTTCCAGTCGATTATTTGGTGATGGATCCAACCAAAATCTGTTGTTTTCATCTCATGCATCATCGAAGTAATAAAATCAACATCAGTGTTTCCTCGTCGGATTCCATTTTGTTACTGAGTGTACAGTAAGTCGTAAACTCGCTGCGCAGCCGTGGTGTGTTCGCGACATTTTCGCTGCGTGCCTACCCGCCCCGAAGCCGCTCGCAAACCGCTAGTATGAGGAGGCCGTTAGTCTCGCTAAAATTCGTAAATGGCTGGACTGATTTTGATGAAATTTTTTGTATGTGTTTGAGTGGCTCCCTGGATGGTTTAGATTCACAATTGGACTCAGTTGGTGGTGCTGTTGTAGGGTCCAGAAACCACTTGAGTGAATCCGGGGCAGATAGCTAGTTTATATTATTTTTGATAAGATTAACTTTTTGTTTACAGGTACATCATGCTACTCAAGCTATATGTAAGCCACAGACTAAAAGCAATGAGGCAGCCCAAAGGGAGATTGAAGAAGCCATGTGTAGAGTGAAAGAAGCTCAGAACTACATTTCTGCTGCAATTGACCCAGTTATTGGACTGTTGTCTAAGGACAAGAGAAGGTATAAGTTTAATATTATAACAACAACCAGATTACTGAGTGCAATCTCCCTCTTTTAGGTTGTAGAATTCACTGTAGAACATGAAACATACATATTCTTCATTGGCATATAAGTATCTACTTACTGTTTCCATTTAACAATATATGAATTGGTTTTAATTTTAGGACTCGATCACGATCTCGGTCTCGTCGCCGTTCCCGGTCCAGGTCACGTCGCTCTCGATCAAGACATCGAAGCAAGCGATCTCGCTCGAGGTCTCGGCACCGTTCGCGTCGCTCCAGGTCTCGTCATAGACATCGTACTAGGTGAGAAATTTTATTAATAAACTCAGACAGACAAGAAGAGGCTTTGGATCCAGGTGATTGTGGTTGATAATGCTTTGCAGGAGCTTCTACAATTCTCCTTTTTTTTAGATGGCTATTTTCTTTGGTTCTTGTAGTCTTATTTGATAGCTTTGTTAGTTTAACGTATTTTGTTTTCTAATCTGACTAGTAGGTATTACTTCTTCTAGTCTATCGTCAACTGTTTCTTTCTATTTTGTATTTTTCAAAATTTTATTCATAGCTTTTAAAGTATGTTTATCGATAATGCATGACTAGTTTTTGATTATTATACACACTGGCCATTCATTTTTATGTTGGATGCAAAACTACACAACAGTATGTAAACAATTTAAAATAGGTTATTGAAAAATAACACTGTAGTCTAATTAATTACTGATATGTATCTGTAGTCCTAAGAACGAACTAATAGTATGAAAAAAGATGAAAATCACAAAAGTAATAATTAAAAAAGTAGAAAAGTTCCATATTTATTTGGCAACTCGTTTGGTTTTTGGTTGTGTCAAGTGTCTCCTGCCCTCACTGGGCTTCTACTTGGCTAGCACAAAACCCTAACGAAAGAGTGCAATGCGTCTCGCACGTTAGTTTAATTCTATCGCGGTCGACGACCTACTATCTACTACCTATCTACGAGCCTACGACGTCTATAGGTAGGCGTCGTACGACGCCTACTATCAACTATGTTTGGTTTTAAACAAATGCCATAGTATGAATTGTTATCGCTTATTTTATTGGTTGTTCATAGTAAAATTTTCCTATTTTTTGGTATTAAGCAAAATACTCACGAAACAATTTGCTGTCCCGTTTACGTAACAAGCTACGCAAATTAGTTGTTGGTTCTTGTTACTAACAATCTAATAATAGATCTTTGAGTTCCAAGTACAGATTTGGTTTCTGTACAAAATATATGTAATCTTTTTAAGTATTGATATATTTTTTCAGGTCTCGTTCACGTCATCGTAGTTCCCGACGATCTCGTTCTAGATCTCGACATCGAAGCTCGCGTTCTAAACGTGATCGTTCACGTGATCGCGATCGTAAAGACCGGAAAAGTTCTAGTGAAAGAGACAAAGACAAAGATAAAAAAGAAAAATCTAAGTCGCCTAGTAAAGATATTGGTAAAGAAATTGAGAAAGATGGAAAAAATAAAACAGAGGTTGTGCCTGACACCAACGGAAATAGTTCTGAAACAAAATCCAAGGCATCGACGCCGGTGGATGATAGAGAAAAGGAAAGTGATAAAGAAAAGGAAAAGGATAAGGATAAGGACAAAAGGGATAAAGATGATAGGAAAGATAAAGATAAATCCCCAACTAAAAGACGAGAACGCTCTAGATCACGGGATAAAAAGCGTGATCGATCGCGATCTAAGCGTAGATCACGATCACGATCCAGGAGAAAACGCTCAAAGTCTAGAAGGAGGTCGCGATCTAAGGAAAGAAAACGGTCCCGTTCGAGGGATAGGAAAAAATCTAGATCTCGTGATCGGAAACGATCTAAATCTAGAGACCGAAAGAAGTCTAGATCTAGAGATAGAAAACGTTCAAAGTCCAGGGATCGCAAGCGTTCTCGTTCTCGTGACCGGAAACGTTCCCGTTCACGCAGCCGACGTTCTAAGAGTCGCTCTCATCGAGATTCTAAAACACCACATGATAGAAAGTCTAGAGACCAAACTCCCCTTCCCACTGTTACCGAAGAAAAAGAAACGTCAATAATAGAATCTAGAATGAATGACATAAGTGATGAAAAGAATTCCCCAGATAATATGGATATTTCAAACTCTCCATAACTTACACTTCACAACATAAGTATATGGATTGTATCCATATACTTATTAACTAAATTTAGGCATTTCCTTTACTTCCAAAATATCTGTTACATGTGTTTCTATACATTTCCATTTTAATGTGTTCAATAAGAGTAATACAATACATCCATACATCAAAGCGTTTTATTCATAATCAAGCCCCAACAGTCTTATTACAAAACGAGTACCTATTTTGTTGTACTCTGAGTGAATTCACAAAGACAGCATTGTTTGTAATTTGTTACAAAAATTAAATAATCAACACAAATCAGTTAGACAGCTACACTATTGCATTAGGTAATCCTGTAATGATATTTGTAATTTTAGGTTATTTAGACTTGGCCAGTCCTTTAGCAGCAGCGTTACTTTTTCAGTTCACACTGCAAATCTATTTTTTTAATTATTATTATAAATTAATTTTTGTAAATAAGACGGCCAGTATTTAACTATTTGATTCCTTTTAAAGTTAGATGCTCCTTCGAATTACATTAAGATGTGATATTTATCGTTTCGTATAACCCTTAAGACTAAAGCATAGATGGAGCACACGAGTACACAATTTTATAATTGAACTCTTCCATTCATACATCCACTACAACCTATAAAAGTCCACAGTTGTACAGGCAAAAGTTGACAGCGGAGAAGGCCTACTGCCTTATAGGGGATTTTTGCTATAGTTGCCAAGGGATATCCGCCGCAGTATTTTTAATAATTTTGAATTGTTATCAGGAAGATCACACACTTTCTATAAAACATCGTAAAATTTTGTAATAATAATAATAATAATAAGGTCAGGTGGGGTAAGAGGGACATACTTTATTTTCAGTAAAATTGTTCTGAACAGCTAAAGTCTTTTAAGATCTTTAAAACAAACAAAACTTGGCTTTATGTATTACCTTCACATGTGCAAAATGTCATTACGCTAGTATCTGTTTTTACTACGATATTGACGTAAATGTCAAGATTAAGTAAACGTTCCTCTTCCCCCTCACATGGGGTAAGAGGGACAGTCATTGTATTTCTTAAGATTGGACTTTGAATTAAAATATTCTTTGCTAAATGTTCGTTAATTTGTAGGTAGAATTACTTTGGTCAAAATTAGGTTTTACAATTGATGAAATAAGGTATCGTTTTAAATGAAAAAGAAGAAAAAATCAATTCAGGGTAAGAGGAACATACAGGTTCGATCAGGGGTGGCAAACTAAAAAGAAGTTGACTAGTTATATTTCTATATTTATTTAATCATACAAACGGTAATAATATATATCCTAACTAGTTTACCATAGATAGGTCACTCTTTAAAAATAACAATGGCACTTTGAATTTTAAACCTTTGCGGTCGTATCATAGAGTAGAGTAATATATACAGGGTCGTATACACGGTTAACAAATGTTATTCTTGGTATATTATAAAGTTTTGATACGAAGTATGCAGATATTGTTCCATTTAATACCGCATTGACAGCCTCACTTATTATCATTATCATGTCTGCTTCTATCAGATTTTCTTATATATTTTCGTGCTATGTTTTATGGTAAAAAAAAAAAAAAAAAAAAATATATATATATATCATTCCTACAACAGTCAAAAATGCTATAATATAACAAATATTACAATTAAAAAGAAAAGGACGTATATAAAACGCATGAAACTTTATTTATCTAAACTGATTTAAAAAAAGAAAACATTTGATTTTTTATTTGTTATGATTTAGATAACTCAAAAACTCAAATCCGATCTCAAAAATAAATTTAACACAAAAATAGGTAAGCGTGGACGAAGTTGTGGAAAATTTCTAGTTTAGTTATAATTTAAAAGTGTAGTAGGTACAAAACAGTCAATTTTTTTCATTTAACCTACCTATAATTATAAATTATTCAAAATGTGTGTTACCCCCGACATAGTGTAAAAGAAACATATGTTGAGTGAGCCTCTTACCCCAGCTATTGCTTTTGGAGGTTTAGATTTTCAAGCGAAAGAAACTCATATTATTAGTTGTTTTTGGACTAAAATGGTTAATAAAAAGAAATAATTACAGTTTTCTCCTTATATCATTACATTCAAAATATTTCCAGCTCTCTTTTTTCACCAAACTATTGGTTCGCAAAAAAAACGCGCTAACTTTGTACTAGTCGAATTCACAACTGTCAAATGTGTCTTCATTTTTTGTGACTTCTGAGTCACGTAGCGATATCTATTGAAAACCGTTCAAATTATTTCGCATTCACTGTTTTATTGAAGAAAAGTTCATAGTGATACGCACTTCGGTTTACTAGTTATGGTCCCTAGTCCCTCTTCCCCCGGTGTCCCTCTTACCCCACCTGACCTTATAGCCTTTTATCCAGATCAAACTAGTATTCTATTACATATAAAAGATAAAAACTTAGTCTAGTGTTGGGTTCTTGCTTATTGTCTGCAGACCTGTTTGCCAGTCGGCAAAAGTCTGCTCCAACTTTCTCTTTCTTGAGCTACTCTGTTCCAAATCACTCCTGCCACTACAAAAATTTTCAATAAAAGTTTACTATACGAAAAGAAAATAATTTTTGTGTTATCAATTAGGTGTTAAAATTCACGTTAACAGGTAATTATGACATTTAGGAATCACGCAGCAAAAATACGAACTTTAATTCATAAGGCAAACTATTTTTTTTATCATCATCTCACATCAGAGGCTAAGCGTTTGCTGTAAATTTCACAGTACGCGAGCAACTCGGATCCGATGTACACCTTCACCAATAAAATTGTTAGATACAATTTTATGTACTGATTTACCTCGTGCTCGGCAGTGACAAAAAACATCGTGAGGAAACTGCATGTATAAGAAATAAAATATCCTGAATACATGAAGGTCGCCAACACGTACTAGAGCATCGCGGTGGACTAATTAACACTAAGGTACAGAATAAATAACAGTACCATGTACAGAACTTGCACTCCTTTGATGTTGTCTGCTTGCCGACGTTATAATAGCTTACATAATTATTATTAATTAGATAAATCGCGCACGTAAGCTAAATAAATCGCTGCGCGCGAGTGTCCGTTGCATCTTTTCCACTTCCTACGTCACCACGGATTTTCCGTGGTTACTAAGGGTTAAAGAGCAATAAAATACATTGCGAAATGGTAAGTTACTTAGGTACCTATTCTGATTTTGATCGAGTGAGTAATTTGACGCCCAAGCCTATCGCATGCAACTTGTTTTAAAACGAATTGATCGCGATGCATGGCTCGAAAGAAATAGGTACGTAGTGTAAACAACCAATAATTATTTGTATATTATATCACATTCACCTCCCTATTTGTGCACTTCCGCGATCAGACAAACTAGAACCAAAAAGCAAAAAACAAAAAAATATCTTTTTATTTCATCAGTTCATTTCATTAGTTTCATGCTTACTTATTACTACTGCTTACTTCTTACTATCTTTACTTCATCTGATAAGAAAAAATACTTTTTTTAAATAAAAACAATTAACTGCAGCTTAAAAAAACTCCTTTTACTGCGTATTATGGACACAATTTCATATAGTAAGCCACACCAAGCCGCCATTGCATGTTTGTGTGTCTATCTTTTTCCAATCTTAGCGACGGTATTGTTCTCGCAACTTATGTAAGTGAGACAGATATATGTTTATTTAAAAATTTCAGTAATTAAAGAGCTATGCCGACACGAGTCGTGAGCACAGATAAACTGTGGTGGGAGGTAGGTATACTGTCGGGCAAAATTATTGGATACCTTTATTATTTCAATTCGTAATTGAATATTTTCGCTGACTTTTATGAAAATGTTTACTTTGATACAGTAATGTTGCAGATATTCGTGTCCGTTATTTCATTATCTACTATAAAGTATTTAGTGTATACCTGGTGGTTAGAATTGATTATTTTATTTAAGCAACAAAATAAAGACTGCTTCTAATAAAATTAAAATGACATGGAGTATAATTAATAGTGAAACTGGTAAGGTCAACTCTCGTAATTCAAACTACCAGTTAAGTTTTAACAATAAATTAACTAAATCAGATCAGGACGTTGCAATGGTTTTTGAGAAATATTTTACTGATATTCCGATCTTAACCACTAAGTCACTGAATTCTTCTCCTACCGTCGCCGAATCATTACTTAAACAAAATGTAAATGTGTGTACAAAGAATTTTACATTTCATAAAGTTTCATCAAAAGATATTGTAAAATATTTTAACCCATAATTACTCGCGTGGGGTATATTTAACCCCACGGCGTATTTGAAGCGTCGTATCTCCGCCATTTTTAAAGTTACCTCCATGCCGTTCTTAGTAGCTGCCTAAATACCTCCCCCCGCCGCGAATCAGTCACGAGCGCCGCTCCGTGTCGTGTGGTTGTGTCAGGAGATCGTGTCTGGGGTATATATTGCCCCACGCGAGTATTCGTGCAACTTTTTTTGGACGAGTGAGTATTTTTATTTTTATTTTTTAATGTGCAGTACAGATACTAAATGGTTAGGTTTTTTTACTTATCTTTGTTTTCTGTTCTTTTTTAGGTTATAACACCTAAAATGGCAAGTAAGCGTCTTTCTAACTACCAGATTCTTGAGCGTATATTAGAAGACGACGAAGAAAGCATCATAGATAGTCCCGACGAAGATGAGGGAGACGATGAAGTGATCCAGAGTGACCACAACTCAGAATCTGAAGAAAGTGCCCATGAAACCGAGTTAGAATGGAGTGATGACGATAATGAACCGCTGAGTAGACACGCAAGTAAAGATTCTGATAGCTTTTATTTATCAAAAAAGAAATGCACAAAGTGGGCAAAAGAGCCGCCGCGTACTAGCGTTCGAGTTCGTAGACACAATATTATGAGGGAAACACCAGGACCTAAGGGAGCAGCCAAGGAGATACATACAATGTCAGAAGCATTCTTTTGTATGTTTTCAATGGATACTGTCAATTTAGTACTGCAACAGACCAACGATTACATAAAATCGATACAAGGAAAATTTCAACGCGAACGTGATTGCAAATTCCTAGAATACGAAGAACTTTTGGCTTACCTAGGTTTGCTTTACATGTCTGGTGTGCTGCGTTCATCTCACTTGAACTTCAAAGATCTGTGGGCTACCGACGGAACAGGCATCGAGTTTTTTCAAAACACAATGTCATTCAACAGATTTCTTTTTATATCAAGATGTGTTCGTTTTGATGACAAAAATACTAGATCTGAAAGGCAAAAAGACAGACAAACTAGCAGCAGTCAGAGAGTTCACTGATTTGATGAATAATAATTTCATCAATAATTACTCTGCATCTGAAAATGTCACCCTAGATGAACAATTACCTGCCTTTCGAGGAAGATTTTCTGGTGTTGTTTATATGCCCAACAAACCCACGAAGTACGGCATAAAGCATTATGCACTCGTAGACTCGGCAACATTTTATTTACTGAAATTTGAAATTTATGCTGGAGTACAACCTGAGGGTCCATATCGAATGCCTAATGATACAGTAAGTTTGGTAAAGCGCATGACAGAACCCATCTGGGGTACTGGTCGAAACGTTACGATGGACAACTGGTTCACTAGCGTCCCTCTTACAAATACGCTTCTAAAAGATCACCAGCTTACTATGGTTGGAACTATTCGCAAGAATAAGCCGGAAATTCCAACTTTCTTCCATTTTGCTCGTGTTCGTTTGGGCTTCCAGCCCAAACGAACACGAGCTGAGCATTCCAGTCTGTTTGGTTTCCAAGAAGACGTAACACTTTGCTCTTACGTTCCAAAAAAATCTAAAGCTGTACTGCTGATTTCGTCAATGCATCATGACAATAAAATAGTTGAAAGTGAAAAGAAGAAACCGGAAATTATTTTGTACTACAATCGCACGAAAGGTGGCGTAGATACCAACGACCAAATGTGTGCTAACTATAACGTCGGCAGACGTACAAAGAGATGGCCTATGGTTATATTTTATCACCTTCTCAACGTTGCTGGTATCAATGCATATGTCATTTATAAAAATAAAATTGACCACGGAATATCAAGAAGGGAGTTTTTGAAGCATCTTGCAGTTGATTTGGTAAAGGCTCGCCAACAAACTCGAGCAACTATACCACAACTGCCTAGGGCCGTACAAAAACGGCTAAAAAGAAATGCTCAAGTTCAGGATCCTAGCCCCACTTCCAGAGGTGGTCCATCGACAACTTATAAAAGGTGCCATATCTGTCCAAGGTCGAAGGATAAAAAAATAAGATTTATGTGTGCCAAATGCCACCAGCAAGTTTGTCACGACTATTCCACTATGATATGTGATAAATGTATTGATTAAATAGTTCCTAAATTTAAAGTTTCATATCTTTAAAAGTTTTTAAGGATACTATTACAATTTAGAACAATGTTGCCTCTTTCAAATTTTTATAATAAAAAAAAAGTATGTCATTAAAAATATGTTTTATTGTACCTTTACAATTGGGGTTATATATTCCCCACGCGAGCGTAAGTGTAACTATATGGACGCGAGTAATTAAGGGTTAAGACTATTGATATTAAGAGAACCGCCGATCTGTGGGGGATTTCTGTTAAAGTTATTGCGTCTATAATAGATACAATCGCACCTCAACTATCTATTATTTTTAATAGTAGTATCAAATCTGGTGTGTTTCCTGATTTAATGAAGCATAGTAAAGTAATACCTTTATTTAAATCTGGTAGTACATTGGACCCCGCTAATTTTAGACCTATTTCTGTACTGCCAACACTTAGTAAAATTTTTGAAAAAAATATTCTTGATCAATTGTTAATTTTTTTTAATGTAAATAAATTACTTCATAAAAATCAATTTGGTTTCACAAGGGGTCGCTCGACAACTGATGCTGGTGTTGAGCTCATTAAATATATATTTAATGCATGGGAGAATTCACAGGAAGCTTTGGGTGTGTTCTGTCCAAAGCCTTCGATTGTGTTCACCATGAAACATTAATCAGGAAACTTCAACACTACGGTGTAAGAAATGATGCTCTTAAATTAATTATTTCATATTTAAGTGACAGAACACAAAAAGTTGTTATTAATAGTATGAGTTCTTCCAGGTCGATTGTACAAATGGGCGTGCCTCAGGGCTCAATTCCCGGCCCCTTTCTGTTTCTTGTATATATTAATGTCTTACCTTACATAGTAGGGGATAACCATGATATAGTATTATTTGCTGATGATACTTCATTAATTTTTAAATTAAAACGACAGTTATTAAATTACGACGAAGTAAATAATGCTATAGCTAAGTTAGTCAATTGGTTTAATGTTAATCATTTGCATTTGAATGGAACTAAAACTAAATGTATGAAATTCGTAACTCCTAATGTTAAACATGTCAATAATAACGTAGTTTTAAATGGGGAGGAACTGAGTCTTGTTGATACCACCATTTTTCTTGGAATCACACTGGACGCAAAGCTTCAATGGCTCCTCCATATATCAAAACTAGCTAGCAGACTTAGTTCTGCAGCATATGCTGTAAAAAAGATTAGAACTCTTACCAGTGTTGAAACAGCTAGAATAGTTTACTTTAGTTAATTCCATAGCATTATGTCGTATGGTAATTTTGCTATGGGGACACGCGACTGACACTGAAATTATATTTATTTTACAGAAGAGGGCCATTAGAGCAATATATAATTTAAAACCAAAAGAGTCACTGAGACAAAAATTTAAGGAAATTAATATATTAACTCTGGCCTCTCAATACATTTATGAAAACGTAATGTACGTACACAAAAATAAAAGTAGTTTTGCGAAAATAAGTGATATTCATTCTGTAAATACTGGGAGCAGACACAAGCTGGTAGTACCAGTTACTCGACTCCACCGAGTCAGTAATTCATTCTTGGGGCGATGTATACGCTTTTACAACAAAATCCCAGAAAATATACAAAATTTGTCATACACAAAGTTCAAAAATGTTATTAAACTAAATTTGTATAAAAAGGGTTATTATAATATTAAGGAATTTATAGATGATAATAACCCCTGGGAAGGGTGATCGCTACCAAGCTATTTCTAATTTGTCTTGTGTTGTTGATTGTAAACATGATTGTAAGCTATTATTAAAAAAAAATAGTCCCGCTGGGTTTCTTGCTGGTTCTTCCCAGGACAGAGGTTTTTTAATTAAAAAAGTGACTTTCAATAAGTATTTTTATAATCTACATTGAATAAAAAAGTTTCTATTTCTATTAAGAAGAAGGAAGAGGTGATATGCCTTCCATAAAATCTGGTGTTGCGGTGCGCCGTACAGTAGCTACTGAGACATTAGTTGCCTCAGCAGTCTGTTTATATACGTCTATGATGTTTATCGCATTACCTAATTTTTTCATGTAACTAAACACTGAATAGACCATTTGTCGGGATTGTCTATTTAACACCGAATTCTTCTTTCTCTGCATATTTAGACCAAAAATAATTAAAAACAAGAAATAACAAAAACAATTAATAACAAGGAATACACAAACAACAATTAACAACGACGTAACAAAAATTAACGAAAATAAACTAATTAAAAAAGTTATCACTAAAATGATTGCTCTGAAGTGTACGGAAGCCGCATGATACGTTCGAAACCAATAGACGACGAGAATCGACTGATGAACCAATCACGTTGAACGTCAGCGTGGTCAAAGTCGTATCGACCAATAAAAGTGTGCTCACGACTTATGTCGGCAATTATACGTCGTCGCGGCAATGTGGTTTGCTCCTCTGGTTTTGTGCAACTCAATGCAGGCACGTAGTACTATAAATTTATTCTGTGACGCAGGTAGCATGAGTGCCAGAGGCCTAAGGTCTGTGCCCAGCAGTGAGATTGTCGAAAGGCACTAAATTTACTTTTATTTAACAAATACTATTAATACTTAAACATTGGCCTCACTCAAATTTACTTTATTGCGTTGTAATGCGCTCTGTTAGGTGTGAATCATTACTTCTACTTTCAAATCTATATCTATACTAATATCTATATTAGAAAAAGATAGGACTTGTTTTTTGATTGTTATGGATAAATAGTGGTAGAGCCACGCGGCAGCTTTGCTGTTGCACGTACGGGCCGGCTCAAACCGGGGTGGTACCACGACCTCACGGAATACCGGCGTGAAGTGGAAACTCTGCTTCCGCGATATGAGTGCAGGTGGCCGGAGGCCCAAAACCCCCCCCCCCCCCCATCAACATGGTAGCGGAATTAAATGTCAAACTACCCCAGGAGGGTACCAGCACCCCTGGAGAATCCCTCACTGAGCATCCACGACCAAGTTAATCTACACCTGAGCGTGGGTGCTCAGGCTGCTCTGCGTATTCTGGCGTATCCCCCAGAATATGGGGGGTGGGGGGCAAAATTCCTCTCAAGACTACAACTGCTCGCGGCAAACGGAGCAACAAGACAAAGGCAACCAAGCCACGCTATCCGTGAATTTCTGCTATATCAGGGGACTTCACTCTGACCTAAACGCCGTCCACTACCATCTCGAGACGGCGAGGCGGGCACTCCTCTTTCTGACAGAGACGCAGGTGTCCTTTCCGGCTGATGTATCGTATCTCTCCTAGCCGGGGTACAAACTGGAACACTCTTTTGTGTTGTTGGCTGGAGTTTGCGTTTACGTCAGAGAGGACATCTGTTCTCGACGCCTCGGTAGTCTTGAAGGTTCGGACCTGTCCATCCTTTGTCTACGCGTAGACAGCGACGACCATCCGCGCGTCTACGGTTGCCTCCATAGGTCCCATAGCGATAATGCCGAAGCAGACCGACTCTTCGATCACGTCCAAATGGCTACAGATTCGTTGCTACAGCAGATCCCCTCCACAGAGATCGTGATCCTCGACGATTTTAATCACGCCGAACGGCTTGGTTCACGTTTAAACAATCATGCGGGGAGATCTGTTCATGATTTTACCTTGGCATATGGTCTGACACAACTGGTTACTTCGCCTACGCGGATTCCAGATGTGAAGGATTATGCACCTTCCCTGTTGGACCTTCTGCTGACCTCTCACCCGGACGGATATCACATTTCCGTCGAAGCCCCTTTAGGCTCCTCGGATCATTGTCTTGTCCGGAGTGTGGTGTCACTCACGCTGAAATCGCAGTTGCATTCTGCAGGCTGCCGCCGTGTTTGGCACTATAGGTCAGCCGATATGGATAGGATGCGGTCTTCCTTTGCATCCTACCCTTGGGGGCGGGTTTGTTTCTCACCGGACGATCCCAACGATGTTGCGGATTCTGTCGCTGATGTGGT